GATAGGTGGAGATATGCCCCCTTTCAGCTTGTTAGTATTGGACCTTTTTCCTGTTGACCTATTACGTCACAGACCAAACAATGGACAAACAAGTTAGCTACGGTTAGCTAGCAGCTAACTGCTACCATGGTGGACAACTTTACAGCTCTGTACATTTGGTCCGTCCAAAAAGTCACGGCTCTGGATGTAGATTTCTCCATGTTGTTACCGGCTTCTTCTTCTCTTACACATTTAATGCTATTGGACTTCCGGGTCAAAGCCCGGGGCGGAAACTGTGGAGCATGCTCAGAGCGCCTCGGCCAGTTTGGGTCTGACTGACTGTATACATGCAGGAGTCACATGATCTGGGTGTGTTAGTCCCACTGTGATACATTCACTGCAGGACCATTTCACTCACACTAACATGTTTACAGAGATTTTATATACATCCATTTTCTCTGATGTCATGGAAACGGACGGAGTGACGAGTGCAGGACTGAGATCAGTTCAACAGAGCTGTGAGGATCAAGTGTGTCTCTGGTCAGATGTTGATTTAAAGCTGAGCGTGTTTAAATTTCAGGACGACGAGCAACATGAACAAAGTGTTCTGTCCTCACTGTGGGAACCAGACACTGAAGAAAGTGGCCGTGACCATCAATCAGGACGGCAGCAAGCAGATGCACTTCTCCAAAAACCCCAAAGTGCTGAACCCCAAAGGGCTGAGGGTGAGACACACACACACACATCAAACTATACACACAGGACACACACACACACACACACACACATCAAACTATACACACAGGACACACACACACACACACACACATCAAAAAACACACCCTATGTGTCCTGATAGTCTGAACTTAGCAGCTGTATTGTGTCGTGTCTGATGTGTGGTGTGGTGTCATGTTGTGTGTTGCAGCACTCTCTGCCGCTGCCTCAAGGAGGGAAACACAGTTCCAACCCTCAGCTGGTGGAGGACCAGCGTTTCCCTCAGCAGAGACTCTCCCGTAAAGCTCGTCAGAAGACGGACGTCTTCAACCCCGACTACGTGGCCGGAGCATCGCCTTTCTGCCAGAACGACGTCTACAGTCGAGCAGCCAACCTGCAGATCAGAGACAGCCAGTGTGGCGGCGGCAGGAGGCGAGCCAACCCCAACGCCACACGCAGCAAGTTCATCAAGAAGAAGTGAAGAGCTGAAGGACGTGTGGACTCATGACATCATCATCATCACAGGTGTTTGATGTTAAACTAAAGGAACATACAGGAGCTTCAGTGTATCTGAGTCCCACATGATGAAGGTACAGAACACAGAAACTGTGGAATGGTCCTTTAAATACAAAACCAGCAGATTCTCTCTTTAATAAGTTATCATGTTATCAAATCCCCTCTGAGTGTGTTTCAATATTATCTTTATATTCTGCCCAATAAATGTTCAAACTTCAGCTGCTCATGTTCAGTGACGTCATTATTTCAATATAAAGACACATTTATGATTCTCAGATAATCCCTTAAACCTGTTAAGGAACTGTCTTTGTGCTAAGCTAGGCTAACAGTTTCCCTCTGCTTCCAGTCTTTATGCTAAGCTAGGCTAACAGGCTCCCTCTGCTTCCAGTCTTTATGCTAAGCTAGGCTAACAGTTCCCTTCTGCTTCCAGTCTTTAGTCTCTGGCGCGGCACGGCGAGTCTTAACTGACGATAGAAACAAAAATCATTTCTACCGTTTTACTGTACAGTATATCATTTTATTTTTCATGTCGATGATGAGGTGAACAGTAGAAATACAGAGAACAGACCACAGCTGCCATTCAAAGAGATTAATTTAATTATCGATCTGTCAGTTTTCTTGATTAATCATTTGGTTCTTAAATTGCCAGAAGTGCCGAGTCTGAGGTGACGTTCCTGAATCTCTCCTTCTGTCTGACCCAAAGTGTTTCAGGTATAATGTGAGGACAAGTAGAGCAGCAACTTCTCACATCTGAGAACCATCAAAAATTTTGTTTATTAGCTTAAAAATCATTCAATAAATCGACCATTAAGCAGAGACACTGTCATGTTTTTAATGTTGTCTGTTTTCACTCTGAGCGCTTGCTGATGTTTGATCAGACAACAGTCACCGTCATCTTTCAGTAAGAGTCGGGACAGTTAGAGAAACGACTGTTTATTAAATTATCATTAAAATGTCCACAGAGACAAGATGTCCGTCACCAGTTCCCAGAGTCCATAGTGATTCATCATTCAGACCAACAGCCCACAGAGAAGTCCTCACACATTATTTCAGTCCTTCTGTCCGTCACTCCAGAGAAAAGTCTTCATCCTGTATCGTCTCCTCATCTCGCTCTTCAGGGTCTCTGAGACCACAGGGGGGCGGCGTCAGGGCGGGACTTCCTGCCTCCTCTGTGAGGTCCTGACCTGTTGCTGGTTCTTTGAGCTGCGTCTCAAACGTCAGGCTGCTCAGTTCAGAGGCGATGTCAAGCTCTGGCGCCGCTGAGGCTGGCGGTGGCGGTGCTAATATCTCTCTCTGTGGGAGCACGAACTCCAGAGGCTCCAGGACGGCGGCGAGGTCGATGCAGCCCAGATTGCCGTATTTGTGCAGCTGAGTCGGAGGAACTCCTGCAGAGAAACAAAGAATGGCTTCAGACATCTGTTTACACTCTGAGAAGAGCGCCACCTTCAGACTGAAGTGTTTATCTCACGGTATCAAAGTGTTGGACAAAAACATAGTGACCATGATTAAGCTTTTAATGCTCTACTGATGTTTATCAGAGAGGAAAACAGTTTCTTCACAAATTCAAGGTAACGCCCGGTGAGTAACAGATAAACACGTGGTCCCTTTAAACAAACAAACAGGAGGAACAGGATGTTTGTTTCTCACCGAGGATGAGCGCGAGCTGAGCCGGAGGAAACAGGACCTGCAGGCAGCGGTTGAGGAACGGCAGCAGGTCTTCAGCGTACGAACTGCAGAACTGAACAAAAAGCTCCTTCTCTCTGCTGCTGAACGCCGACTCCTCGGCACGGTGAAACACCAAAATCTGACGGGTCACCTGACAGGAAACAAGACCGACAACACTCAACACGCCAGAGCCTGGTCACATGACAGGAACTTGTGTATTTTGTTAGAACAGCTGCTCACCATCTTGAGGGCGTCCTCGAGGCTCGTGGTGACGTCCTGAGCGAGTCCGATGGGGCAGCAGAGCCGCAGGTCGTTGAAGGCGGTCAGGATGTTGTTGAGGAAGCAGGCCAGCGGCTGGAAGTCCAGCAGGGACATGGGGGGCTGCAGGGTGCCGGGCTGGGTGCTGGGGGCCACGGGGGGGATGGTCCCTCCGAGCACCGAGGGCAGGGCGATGAGCGTATACAGGTTCATGTCCTCCTGGAACTTGTCCACTGCCTCCTGCACGGCCCTGCGGAACGTCTCCGCCGCTACGCGCTGGAACATGGGCGCCAGCTGGCCGCGGAAGTCCGCCCCCACCCTGCTGAAGGACAGACCGAAGTACATGCACTGACCCAGCAGGGAGTCCAGGCGGCCCCCCACGCCCCGCTGCAGGTCCCTCTCTAGCGTCTCCAGGAACTCGGCCACCTTCTGCACCACCCAGCCGTGGAAGATGGCAGACTCGTTCACCGCCACCTGGCCGCCTGCGGGAGGCACCAGCGGGTCCTCATCAGAGAAGATGGCTCTGTACTGGGTGATGATGTCGAACAGGTGGACTCTGCAGGCCTCGATGGTTTTGGTGATGTGGAAGTAGGGGTCATCCTCAGAGATAGCGGCGAGGATGGAGTGCAGCCAGGTGCCTCGAGCCTGCAGGAACTTCACCCGAAGCTCCGCCTCCGTGAACACGTCCATCCTGCGCAGGTAGCCAATCACACGCAGGCAGACGGGAAGCTGCGAATTGCTGCGCAGCTGCTGGAGCAGCTGGTTGAGCATCAGCTGAGTCGACTGACGCACTTCACGCACGATTCCCTGAAAATACGAGAACACGTATCAGAGAGTTAATCAGCAGCTGTTGTGATCGTCAATGAATCATTTTGGTCACGTCTCAAACAAAAACAGTTCCAATAAATCCCGCCGTCAGGAAGAAGCTTCTCATGTCATGTTGACCTGGACTCACCTGGATGACGGGAAGCGAAGAGTGCTTCTTCTCCAGCCTTTTAACGTACGCCGCCAGCTCCAGAGCCTCCTCGTAGTATCCGTTGCGGACGCAGGTGTCCATGAGCTGCGGGATCTCCAGGATCTCCAGGATCTCAGTGTGACGGTTCAACGTGAGGCTGTTCATCCGTCGACTGGCTCCGATGTCCTCCGCCTCCTTCATGAAGCCCCTAAACACAAACAGACACACACCTACAGGATGTGTTCACGCCAAGAACACCAGTATTACGACCAATTCTGAGACCTGGATAAAACGGAGCCCGACGAGTCCAGAGCTTGTAGAATAAAATAGAATAGAAAGCCTTTATTATCATTGCACAGGAACAAAAGGATGCTACATATACAACAAAATGGCGGGGGCTACTTCTAAGGTGCAGACAAGTACAGATATTTAGCGTGTGAGGATGTACTGATGACATTTCTTAACTTCCTGTTTCTGAGTCTTTTAATGTTGATTATCAGCCAGTTGTATTCATCGTTCCCTCATCCTCAGTGAGCCTCTGGGATCTGATGAAAACATGAATGTCTCTATTTAGAGTCAGTGTTTGGTTTGTCCATTCTGGGCTACTGTAGAAATATGGTGATCTCCCGAGACGCGGACCCGCTCCATAGTATGTAGATATAAATGTCTCACTCTGAGGTGACAAAAACACAATGAGGCTCATTTTCAGCTGATTATAAAGAAAACGCAACCATTATATTATATTTCATCTCTGACTATATATCCGTCTAAATCCTCCACACTGGAGCTTCAGAGGTTTTTGTAACTGATGATAGTAATGATTATATTTGTGTAATATCGAGACTATTATCATACCATGAAATTCTCATCCTGCTGGGTAGTTAGATCTAATCTAATCTTAATAAAAGTAAACCTGATCCTGGTACTTGATGACGTGTATTCTGATACTGGTTCCTGCGGGTCTGGGGTCCCGGGGATGTTACCGGTCCATGACCCGGCTCTCAGCCTCACTCACCTGCATCTCTCGCCGAAGCCGGGCAGCTTGTCCAGCAGCCGGGACACGCTGCTCTCCACCCGGCCGAAGTCCCGGTAGATGTGCTCGGTGCAGTCGGCGGTTCGGATGAAGGTCTGGTAGTTGGAGAAGGCCAGCTCCCGGGTCTGCTGCAGGATCTGAGCCCGCTCCTCCGCCAGCCGCTCCGGCTCCCGGCTCAGCTTCTCCACCCCGAAGGAGCTGAGCTCGGACAGGTAGGCCGCGAAGTCCGGGTTGTCCCTCCAGCTGTCCGGGAAGCTGTCCTTAAAGATCGACGCCAGAATGCTCTCATCCTCCACGTCTACCGCCGCCATGTTGGACCGAGAGACGCTGTAAACACAACGACCGCTGCTGCTGGAGGGCTGTCACCGAAACACACTCATCAACACCCGGTAACCGTGACACACTTTACACATAAACTGCCTCAGAAGATAAAATAATGTTGTTCTCTACCAGGATACAAACTGAGAGGCCACTGTTGACAACCACTTCCTGGTTCCGCCAACTTCTTCTTCTTCTGTCGTTTAACCAGCAGCAGCAGTATCACCGCCACCTGCTGGCTCAACTTTGTAGCTGTCACATTCTTTTTTAGAAAAATGATTCGTTTCTATTGTTTTTATTTTCTATTTGTTGATTTTTTTAATTGTACTTTTAACTTTGTATTAACAGTTTTGACACAGTACAGTCAGTTTGTGTATAAACTTTTAAATAACAACCAAAAAGTACAAATGAAAATAATGAGACAAGTCAGCGCAAACGTACGTAAACGTAAATGTAAACGTACAAAACCAGACAGACAAAAATAAATAAAATAGACACGTATTCAGTACGAACACACACGCATGGGTTTACCTAATTAGTTGTAACAAATAAATAAATAAATGCATAAATTAATAGTTTTATGTTTTATATTGTTTCAAGAGATGCATCTAGATCTAATCTTTTAAAGCAGCATTTGTCACATTCTCTATTTCTCTACTCCACATCTCTGCTTCCTCCAGTACAGCACTTATAATACCATAATAGTAAAACAACAACTATCTTATCTTAAAGCAGTTTATCAGCTCCTTCTGTCTGTGAAATTAAAGGCAACTAGTAATATTAGTAATATTAGTAATATGAACAACTCTCCCAAATCCAAAAACTAGATTAGTGATGTCACAGAGAGCAAAGTCTGGAGCTGCTCCATAGACACTGAATGTTCTGAGTATGTGGCAACATTTCCTGTTTCAGAGCTGAGAACGCTGCAACAGAATAAAGATCATTTATTAAAAAAAGAAAACAAACAAAATTAGTCTCACATTCAGTGT